GTTTTATTTTAACTCTTTAGAACTTTTCTTAAAGTATAAATATTATCCCAAAACTTATAAGATTAATATATATACATATATTTTAAACTTTTTGTCATGATATTAATGGTCATACAGAGCACTAATTAATTCTAGAAAAATGCTTCCTCTAACTTCCTGTACATGATTTCAGGTTTGAGTCTTCATCAGGTAACTAGGATTTAAGTTTTTATACTCTGGATGTACATATCAAATATTGATCCTTTAACCTCTTTGAGATCTGCTACATATGACATTTAAAATGTTAAAGTTTTCTGCATTGAACCATGACCATGCCTAACAGCAGCCTTTGAAGTCTCTAAAAGGATAATGGGGCCCCACAACAACAATTCCATCAGGACAATGATAATGCCACTCAGCTGACAAACAACACCCAAAGATCAGCTTTGGACTACAAACTGCTCAGGACAATCTCAAGGTTGCTAGTTGAGATGATCCAGTCTCACAGACTACTCTAGCCAGGACTTGAGACAAGCCCTGCACTTTCCCATTACACAGAGACTGGACAACAAATGATACAGCTACCTCTCCCAGAACTTGACAAGTATCCCCAATTTTTCTTTTCAGGATCCCCCAAAGATGCCATCACCCCCAGACAGCAAGAAGTAAACTTAAGAACCTGACACCCAAGAGGTGGGGTGGTGGTTTTTGGTCTTTCAGTGGGTTATGGATATTTGTCTTCATTTAGGGTGGTTGGTTATGGTCAGGAAAAAAGCTGAACAAAGGAGTGTAGATTCAGGATTCTTGTTTTGAAAAGAAGAAAAGGGGATATTGATATGATAGGATATAAAGGTAGATTACTCTGAAAAGAAACAGGAAGGATATAGAAATAAAATAAAAAGATAGATTATTGAATCTACTTTTAAACCAAAAAAGCAACTACTAGTTTTAAATATTTTACATTAATATAGATTTTTGAATATTGATACAAATTTGAGATTATTTTTGTTAGAACATACTGTATATACATTTCTCCTCTTGTTCAAGGTATTGTACCTATACAACTCATTTGACAATGTAATGCCAATTTCAAGTTCTTGAAAGTTATTATTACCAATTGTTTCGGGGTGGGAGCTTCACCCCAACCCCTGGCACACTGGCATCCCTATACCCAAAGAATCTGGAATGTTCTAGTTGAAGATCCACCTCAACTCCCCTCCCCTATCTCTTTCCCTAAACCCGCCCCTTCAAAGCCTGCCAAACACAGCTCCTCCCCCAGAGAGGCTCAAGAACACTCCCACAGTGTATATAAGCTACATCCCAGAAAATAGACGTGTGGTTCTTCTGGTCTCTCATCTCGGTCTCCTCTCTGAGGGGCTGGGGAATCACTCAGGAATGCTTCACCCATTAAACCTGGGATTTTCCAATTTGGTCTGATTCAGTTTAATTTGGATTGCTGAGTTGGCAGAGAGACCTTCAGGGTACATAGACTTATCACCAACTATTTAGGATAATAAGGAAATGCAGGTTAGTAGTTAGTCACCTATTAAAATCACAATTGTAGTCATGTTAGGTATGTTTTCAAGGTCAAACAGAGATATATTTTATATAAACAGGTCATCTTCAAACACTTCAGAGATCTACAGAATATGACATTTAAGATGTTGTAATAACATAGATTCTTTTTTTTTTTAATGACAATGAGATATGTCTGCTCCTAGCAGCACCAATCTACTTTGGAGAAGATGATGGACACTGAAGAAACTCCATATAGAGTTTACTTTCTTTGTGGCAAAAGTTAGCCACTGGGCAAGAAAATGCTCTTGCCTCCACTGCTGACAGCATGCTGTCCAAATAGGACAAACAGGACACAAAAGAAAGGACTACCAAACTTTGCCAAGACAAAGTAGGACAGCCCTTCAAACATCCTGCTTCACAAAAAAGTCTGTCAGATAGGCTAGGCCTGTAGGCCAAAGATGAACGCCCCAAGGTTACAAAGTAACCTTGGTGATTGTACAGGCAGCCAGCTATTTCTGCCATTTCTCACATTTTTTGGAAGTTGCCTGCCTGCAGTTCCTGCTTACTCAGGTAATATTATTTCCTTCTTGGGTCTCTGATGCAGTTGAAGACTTTATAGTTATTGTTAGTTTTCCTTGTTACTAGATTCATAAAAGAAATTCACTAAAGAGGTGTAAAGTATATAAGGTTGAGAGACATTAAGAGATAGTTTTGGTAATGCAAGTTAGAATAGAAAATGAATTAGGTACAACCTTTTAGACTCACCAAGATAGGATAGATAATGGAGTATTTCTCTGAATTTGTCAAATGTTTATGGACCAGATATTATTGATGTATTTATTGCCTATATATATTGTATATATTATTGTACTTATTGTATATACTTTTTCTTATATTAGTTATAATGCTGTCCAAATAGGACAAACAGGACACAAAAGAAAGGACTACCAAACTTTGCCAAGACAAAGTAGGACAGCCCTTCAAATATCCTGCTTCACAAAAAAGTCTGTCAGATATTTTAGAGAAAAAAGGAAAAATGTGGTGGTATTTTGTTTGTGCTCTTACAAATAAAGCTTGCCTGGAGTTCAGAGTGCTGAGCTAATCACTAGAGGCCAGGCAGTGGTGGCACACACCTTTAATCCCAGCGCTTGGGAGGAGGAAACAGGAAGTGATATGGCTGGGTGGAGAGAGGAACTGATAAGTCAGGATGAAGACAGGAACTCAGCCCTTTCAGGCTGAGGATTCAGTAGAGGTAAGAAGTCTCTCTTGTGGATGATTCCTTTACTGATCTTTCAGCATTTAGCCTGATATATAGCTCTAGGTTTTTATTATTAAGACCAATTAGGATTCATGCTACACTTGTCCTTCTCCCGCATTCCCTCTGCCTTGCTAAAAACAGTTAGATTGCATTCCTAAAGCTAACTACAAAAGTCCATTCCCTTATTTGCTCATTTCTTTCTCCTGAGGCTGATTACCAAAATCCAGCAATCAGAATACCGCGTTGGCTATCCTAATTAACATCCCCAATTAAAATGAAACACCTCATCCCAACACAGGGTTTCCCATTTTACCTTTATAAACTGCCAGTTGCCTATGTGCCACATCTGTCTCCCTTCTATCCTTTGTCCTTCTGGGACAAATACCCCTTCCTCCTTTCCCTGTTTCCTTCCCCTTCTCCCTCATCCCCAATCTCCTTTATCACCACATCCAAGTCCATCCTAACACAGACCTCCCCTTTTTCTCTTTAAAATTACAGTGCAAGGTCATTTGCTGCTGTTTTTCTGCCTGAGTCAGAAAGTAGCTACTTTAACTTTTCTTTCCTACTGAATAAAGGATCTCTCTGTGAAAACAGGTGTTTGGGTGTGGTTTGTGCCTAGTCTGGTGTTCGGGAGGAAGCCCCTGCTGTTCAGGGGTCCTCTTCAGTGCTTCTTTCTTCCACCTGCTTTATACAGTCTGCCAGCAGAAGGTGTGGCCCGGATTAGAAGTGGATCTTCCATCTCAAATGATCTGGATTAAAAGAAAAAATCCCTCAGAGGTGTGCCCAGTTGGGTTTTAGTTAATTCTAAATGGAGTCAAGTTGACAACCAAGAATAGCCATTACATAGCATAATCAGTGGGCTGGGAACGGTGGTTCAGTCTGTCACTCAGCACTAAGGGAGGCAGAAGCAGGAGTCACTAGTCAGCATGGGATACATAGGGAGACCCTGTCCCAAAGCAGCATCAGAAGGCCGATTTCCTGGACACACTGTGGAAGGAGCAAACCCGCAGTTGCCCTCTGACCTCTGCTTGCTTGACATAGCACACAAATAAATGTAGCCTCCAAAACAATTGCTAAAGAAAACAAAAAATCCCAGCACATTTGTGATCCCTGTAGTTGAGAAGTAAGGTTGTTAGGTGTGGTGGCGCACACCTTTAATTCCAGCACTCGGGAGGCAGAGGCAGGTGTTTCTCCCTGAATTCAAAGCCAGCCTGGTCTACAGAGTGAATACAAGGACAGCCAAGGCTACATAGTGAGACCTTGTCTCAAAACAACAACAACAACAACAACACAGTTTAAGGTCATCGACTACAGGGTAAGTTTGAGGCCAGCACGGCCTCCATCAAACCCAACAAAACAAGCCACAGTGGACACACTTGAAGTCCGAGTTCACAAGATGCTGAGGCAGAGCCCAGAGAGGTCTGTCTACACATCAAATTCAAGGTTAATCATTTAGCATGACCCTTCTGCCCTCAAACCCACACAACATCAGGAATTGTGGGCCAGTGAGATGACTCAGCAGGTAAAGGTTCTGGTCTACAAGTCTGACCAGTTCTATTCCCGGGAAGCCAACGGGTGGAAAAAGAGACCAGACTCCTGCAAGGTGTTCTCTGTGTGTACACACTCACATACACATATACAGGTAAATAATGTTTAATGTAATTCTTAAGATTGTGGAAAAAGAGACCAGACTCCTGCAAGGTGTTCTCTGTGTGTACACACTCACATACACATATACAGGTAAATAATGTTTAATGTAATTCTTAAGATTGTGGAAAAAGAGACCAGACTCCTGCAAGGTGTTCTCTGTGTGTACACACTCACATACACATATACAGGTAAATAATGTTTAATGTAATTCTTAAGATTTAACCTATTTATTTATTTTGAGACAGGGTCTCTACATAGTCCCGGCTGTCCTGGAAGTCACTATGTAAACCAGGCTGGCCTCGAATTCAGAGATCCTCCTGCCTCTGTCTCTGGAGTGCTGGGTAAATGTAATTTTTTAAATTGAAAAAAAAAAATACAGTAATTACGACTTCACAAGTCACAAAGCCAAAGCGATGCCCACAAGGCCGGAAGTAGATGCCCAAACAGGAAGTACCGCTTTTGGCCCGCAAAGCTGCGGGACGGTTCCCACCGAGTGTGAGACCGGAAGTGTGCTAGAGCTATGAGACCTGCGTATGCCTAGGTCTCGCCTAGCCGACCAATCAGAAGGGAGCGAGGCGGGCGTCGGGCGGAAGTACTGTTTACAAACAGGAAGTGTGGCGGGGTTTCTGCGCACGGCGGGCGGGCCCCATGGAGGCGTACGAGCAGGTCCAGAAGGGCCCCCTGAAGCTGAAAGGTGTCGCGGAGCTCGGCGTGACGAAGCGGTGAGGCCCGGGAGCCCGCGGTCTGTCCCCGAGGGCCGACCCCGGGCTCCGGCCCCGCTTACCGGCCCCTTCTCCCCCAGGAAGAAGAAGAAGAAGGACAAAGACAAGGCCAAGCTGCTGGAGGCCATGGGGACGAGTAAGAAGAGCGAGGAGGAGAAGAGGCGCTGCCTGGACAAGCGGACGCCGGCGCAGGCGGCCTTCGAGAAGATGCAGGAGAAGCGGGTGAGGCGGGTGGCGGGACGGCGGAGGGCGGGGCAGGCCGGCCTCCGAGTCGCGGGGTAGCCCAGGCCTTCCCCCAACTCCCGGTGTAGCCCAGGCCTTCCCCCAACTCCCGGTGTAGCCCAGGCCTTCTCCCAACTCCCGATGTAGCCCAGGCCTTCCCCCAACTCCCGGTGTAGCCCAGGCCTTCCCCCAACTCCCGGTGTAGCCCAGGCCTTCCCCCCAACTCCCGGTGTAGCCCAGGCCTTCCCCCCCAACTCCCGGTGTAGCCCAGGCCTTCCCCCCAACTCCCGGTGTAGCCCAGGCCTTCCCCCAACTCCCGGTGTAGCCTGGGCTTGTAGTCCTGCCTAACTTAGCCTTCCAGTGTACTAGGATGACAGGTGTCACCACTTTCCGACTGCTGTTGATAACCACGTTCATTGCTCTTAAGTTACCACGAAGTATGTTTCCGTAACAACTTGCTTCAGAAGCTTCAAATGGGTTTTGTTGTTTGGCGGGATATGTATGTGTGTGTGTGTGTGTGTGTGTGTGTGTGTGTGTGTGTGTGTGTGTGTCCGTGTGTCCGCACCAGGCTCTCCTGGAACTAGCTTCGGTTGGCCTTGAACTCCTGCCTCAGTTTCCTGGTTCCTGGAATGACTTTTGTGGTCCACAAGGCCATGCTAGTTATTTTGGGTGTTTTTGCTTTCTTTTGTTTTTGAGGTACCATTTGTCTATGTAGGCCAGGCTGGCCTCAAACTCACTCTGTAGCCAGGATGACCTTAGACTTGTAATCTTCCTGCTTGTTGGAATGACAGGTACTCAACACCCTGACTGCTTTAAACATGGGTCTTGATTGCCTCCTTACATTATTCTCTTGGTATTAGAAGTCATGAGGAAGAGGAGAGTTCAGAGTGAGACAGAGGCTCAGCCTGCCAGGCTGTAGACGGAAAATAAGCCTGTGTTTGTGGCTTACTTTTTGCAGTGTAGGAGGATTGTACCCAGGACCCAGTGCATGCCTCAGCTGAGCCACACCCCCTCCCAGATCTGCGGTTCTCCTCTGAAGGCAGTCCCTCTCTCCCCAGATGAGGATCTGAAGGTGTTTGGACTCCCTCTGAAGCAGAGAGTGCCACTAGCATCTAGTGGGAAGAGGCCAGGCCCACTGCTACACTTGTACAGAGAAAGAAGTGATTTTTCTCCCGAATATCAGGCTGAGGCTCAGCACCATCAGCCTGGTGTACCTGTGCACTGGCCCTGGGCAAAGTGTGTGCATCACGTGGATCTAGTTTCTGCGTGCTTGTGGGCTGGCAGAGCACACCTGGGTCCGAGGCTGTCTCTGCTGCTTCTCAGAGGGATAGCCTATTTCCGTTCGCTTAGAGGAGGACTGAAGTCACCCTTGCAGGGGTGTGATGAGAATTAACAAGTGACTGCTCTGTCCCTTGTCACCTGGAGGTCACAGCTAAGGCTGACATTTAACCACCAGTCAGGGTGAGCAGTTGATGCAGCCAAGGGTGACGGTAATGACAGCAGTTGGCTGAGGAGAAAGGATGGCTGGTTAGATCCTGTCTAGGGACAAAGATGAAGGTGGAGATGAGGAATGGAAAAGCGTTTTTGAGCCAGGAGTGGTGGGCATTGTGAGTTCCAGGCCAGTCTGGGCTGCAGGATGAGACCCTTTTTCAAAAAGCAAAAAGCAGTGGCTCTTTGGAAGACATGAGTGTTCAGGCAGCATGTGATCCTTCCAGACACATCTACATTGTGTTGCTACCTCAGACATCACTAATCAATCACCACATACTTTGTTATAAAATCCAGTCATACCACTGTCTTTTTTTAAATTTTATTTATTGTTACCAGTGTATGGACTTGAATGCCACAGTGTATTTGTGGAGGTCAGAGGACAACTTGTGGGAGTCTGTTCACTCCTTCCACCATGTGGGTCCCAGGATCAAACTCATCGTTAGGTTTGGTGAAAAGCACCTTTACCCACTGATCCATCTCACAATCCACAGTCTGCTTCTTTTTTTTTTTTTTTTTGGTTTTTCGAGACAGGGTTTCTCTGTGTAGCTTTGCGCCTTTCCTGGAACTCGCTTGGTAGTCCAGGCTGGCCTCGAACTCACAGAGATCCGCCTGGCTCTGCCTCCCGAGTCACAGTCTGCTTCTTAATCTTCAACCCAAAACCCAAGCATTTGTATTCAGAGTTGGGGCCTAAGGACAAGTTGGGGATAGGACCAGGACAGACCGCAGATGGACAGACATAGGTGAAGTGGAATAGGAGGGCCGTTGAACAGGTGCTGGAGAGTCTCTGAGCCACCTGTGTTACATGAAGATCTAACAGAAAAGGACGGCTGGGTGGAGGTGTCCCACACCTTAATCTCAGCTCTTGGGAGACAGAGGCAGGTAGATCTCACTTGAGGCCAGCCTGGTCTACAGAGTGAGTTCCAGGACAGCCAGGGCTGTTACATAGAGAAACCCTGTCTCAAAAAATAAATAAATAAATAAACAAACAAACAAAAACTGAAGAGGATTGGACCTCAGGGAAAGGAGCTTGTTTATTTCAAATTGCAGGTGATTGTGATGAGAGGTGGGAGAAGGATGTGGACCAAGGTGATGAGATTGCTAGACAGCTCCCAGCCTCTTGCCAGAAGGCCCCTTTGGGTGGAGTGGGTCAGCTGCAGACAGTGGGGGCATCAGGTGGAGGGACCAGGCTCTGCCTTTTCTGCCCTGTTCCCAATTCTGCAGTTTGGTCCTCATCTTCACTAAAAACAAAAACAAAAAACTCCCAGCAAAAAAAAAAATAATATGTGTGTGTGTGTGTGTGTGTGTGTGTGTGTGTGCGTGCGCGCGCGCACGCACGCGCATTGGTGTTTTGCCTGTATTATTTAAGTGCACCATGTGAGTGCAGTGCACAAGGAGGCCAGAAGAAGGCAGCGGGTCCCCTAGGTGTGGAATTACGGATGGTTCTGAGCTGCTGTGTGAGTGCTGGGAACTGAACTGGTCCTCTGGAAAACCTGCCAGTGCTTTTAAAAACCACTGAGCATTCACTCCTGTCCCCATCTTCATCTTTCTAAAAAATTCTGTTTTGTGTGCAAGCACTTGTATGCTCAAGCATGCATTGGTGCTTGTATGCTCAAGCATGCATCTGTGCTATGGTGTGTGACAATCAGAAGACAACTTGGAGAAGTTGGTTCTCCCCTCCCATCATGTGTGTCCCAGGGATTGAACTCAAAAGCGCCTTTGCCCTCATCCTCATCTTTGAGATGGTATCCTCTGATCCTCCTGCTTCAGCCTGCCCAGTATGGGGATGCTAGGTGTGTTCCATCACACCCAGCATAGGTCTTTCTTTCTTTTCTTTTTTTGGAAAATAACCTGTAGTCTTTGAACTTATGGGGTGTAGTCTTATAATGTGATACTCATGTGCTGAGCAAACCCAGGACGGCACCATCTCCATCTAATGAAGGGCATTGATTATGTGTTGGGACTCCTCCAGCTGGCCCACAGAGTTTCTGGGATGTGTAGTAATCCACAAGTTCTGGTCACTCCACTGTGCTGTGACACTTGGGACACACTGCCCCTTTGCTGTCTTGCTAGCCCCATCCTCTCTGTCTCCTAGCCAATAGTGTTCTCTGGTCTAGCCTATACTTGAATGGAGTCACTTTTTTAGAGTCTGCAAATGAATGAAGACATGGGCTGACTGGTTATGGTCTTGTGGCCCTCCTGGGCACCCTAACTGACAACTTGACACAAGCTAGGATCACCTGGGAGGAGAGTCTCAATGAGGGACTGTCTTGATTTGCACTGGGATGGGAAGACCTGCCATCCTTGCCAATCGTGGGCATCACCAATCCCTAGGTGTAAGACTTTTGAAATTTCATTTATTTGTACAAATGTTTTGTTTGTCTGTATATATGTACAGACATATGTATATGTGTGTCGTGCTGCCAGAGGAGACTGGAAAAGGGTGTAGGATCCCTGAACCTGGAGTTACAGAAAATTGGGAGCCACCATCTTGGTGCTGACTCTGAAAGAGCAGCAGGTACTCTTAACCACTGAGCTGAAGCTCTGTAGTCCCAGGGTTTGGGTCTTGAGCTGTGTAAGAGCAGAGAAGACTGAGCACGGAGCATGCTCATACCCATTTCTCTATGCTCTGCCTGAGTCGTGGCCCTAAGACTGCCTTCACTTCCCTCCACGGTGGACTGTGACCTGAAACAGCAAGCCAAATAACCCTTTCTCCCCAAGTTGCTTTTTTGCCTGGGTATTCTGTCTTGGTAACAAATGAAAACTAGGACACTGAACATTCATTGGGGTCCTGTCCCCTTAGCCCCTCCTCCCTGGGGCCTCTTGCTCTGTGTGCTCTCCTTCGGTGGGGCGTGGTTTCTTTCCTCCCAGCCCCAGGCTTTCACCATGGCCACAGGCAGCACAACGCCATTGCCCAGCTTCTGGCAGGATCTGACCATGAGGAATGCAGGGCTTGCAGGGAGACTAAGCAGGCACCCCTTCTGAGTGGGGTGGCGGGAGAGAGACAGCTGTGCACCCACATTTGCTTTGGGTGCCTATGGGCTGTGTGGGGCATGGGGACTCACCCCAGTCTTCTCTCTCTCCAGCAAATGGAAAGAATCCTGAAGAAGGCATCCAAAACCCACAAGCAGAGAGTGGAGGTGAGTCCTGCACCTGGGGGGAGCCTGAGCCATGGGGTGCCCAGAGCCCAAGCACACCCTCAGGCATGGTGCCTCCCCAGGCTCATTGGGGTGCTGTGAGACCTGTAGTTGAGTGTGAGAGATGGGCTGGGCACAGATGGCGGCACTACCCACCTGGTTCGCACTGATGTGGTCTCTCTTCCACAGGACTTCAACCGACACCTGGACACACTCACCGAGCACTATGACATTCCTAAAGTCAGCTGGACCAAGTAACTTTCCTCTGGTGCGAAAAACAGGCCAGGTTGGCTGTGTTGCTCCCCTCGGTGTTTTCTAGAATGTTCTACAGCTGCCTGGTGCATCTGCTGAGATGAGGTTTTCTGAAACTTGATTAAAGTCAGGCTGTACTTTCACTGGGTTTTGGTTTCTGGGTAGTACCCTTTCCTATTTGGACTGCAACATTATGGATTGACAGGCTGGGGTCATTTCTGGGTGAAGGCCATAGAAAGAGGGTACCCTTCACACCCCATTGCAGCATCTGTCTTCACCTGCACCACAATACCAGGACAGGATGCTCCTGCCTGTGGACCACCACAGAAGTTCCCACAGTGCTGCTCCTTTTGGGCCACCTGGACATCAGATCACACAGCCTACATCGAGCAACAGCCACCTGAAGCAAGGATGGGACACAGGTCTTCAGCACATACCCTGTCCTACAGTCTACCTGGTGGCTGCCATTGCAGACATTACTAATCAATCCAGTTCTCATTGATGGCACCTGGTGCTGTAAGCATATGGCATGTGTTATGAGCCTGCTTGCCATTGCTGGCTTAAGGACACCAAATGCCAGACAATGCCAGGGCAAAGTGCCAGCAGACCTGGTGTGGTGGGAGGGCCCTGGTGCAAATGCTGCAGAGCTTAAGTATCTGAGAGTCTAGGTGGACCACTTGGAGAACCTGTGTGCACACACTGTTGAGAAGCAGCTTCTGCTGCCATGGATACCGAAAGAATGCCAGGAATCCCTGGAGCTGACATGTAGAATAAAGCAAGTGCCAGTCATGAATTAGAGTCTGAGTGTTGTCTGTGTATGCTGTCTATCCCATGAAGAGTGCACAGCACAAAACTATTCAGGGAAATTAGATGCTTTTGTTTCTTAATGGTGTGTGTATGTGTGTGTGTGTGTTATACAGTATGTGTTGTGTGTGCACATGTATGATGTGTAAAGGACAGCTTGAAGGATTGGCTCTCTCCTTCCACCGTGTGGATCCTGGGGGGATTGGATCTAAGTTAGGTTGTGAGACTTAGCTGTAAGTGCCTTTACCCACTGAGTTATAGTCCAGGTGACACATTTATTCCACTTGTGTTCCTGCCTGAGAGGGGTGGCAGGTGGGATGTGCATGCCTTGTCTCAACTGTTAGGACCATTTTGGATTTGGGAATTTTTCCAGATTTGGGCAACAGATTAATTTTGTCATATGTAATTAGATGTTGCAATGATTGTCACAAGTTTGCATACATTTCATTTCTATTTTATTTGTGCCTGTGCACATAGCCCAAGGTCATTTTATATCAATTTTTTCTTCCTTTGAACATAGTATACAAAATACACAATCTTTTGAAGAATTTTGTGAGACAAAATGAGACAGTTCAGTGATATGAGATTAGTTATTTGGGGTTTTTGTTTGTTTTTTGTTTTGTTTTGTTTTTGGTCTATGAGGGGCAGAGGTTGAGACTGGGTCTCACTGTGCAAGCCTCGCTTGCATGAAATACTCTATGTAGACCAGGCTGTTAGATCCCCCTGCTTCTACCTCTGGAGTGCTAGGACAGAAGGTGTTCACCACCATGCCTTTTTTTTTTTTTTTTTTTTTAATTGTTTTACCAAAATTCTATATCCCAGGCTGCAAACCTGCAGTCCTACCAGGAGTTTGGCAAGATGGCTCAGCAGGTAAGGTTCTTGCTGCCAAGCTTGAAGACCTCAGTCTGAGTCCCAGGATCCACATGGTAGAAGAGAACCGATTTCTACAAGTTGTCTTCTGAACTCCACATGATAACACACACAGTAAATGTTAAAAAAAAAAAAAAAAATAGTGGAGGGGAATGGGCTAATATGACCAAAATATAAACTATATACATGTATGAAATTGACAAAGGATAAATTAAAAAATTTTAAACTGGGTTACTATGTAACCCTGGCTGACCTAGAACACACAGATCTGCCTGCCTCTGCCTTCCAAGTGCTGGGATTGAAGGCACACACTACCATCCCTCACTAAAACTTACTACTTTTAAAAATAAGACAAGTTATATGTCCATGTTCAGGTGTGTGTACATGAGTGCAGGTGTCCAGAGGCATCAGATCACCTGGAACTGGAGTTACAGGTAGTTGTGAGGCACATGTGGGTGTTGGGAACAGACCTCTCTGTTGGGAACCACCTCTCAGTGGTTAGGAGTGAATACTTCTCCAGTCCTAAAATTACTTTTTAAAAACTGAAAAGGGGAAAAAAAAAAAACACCAAGTAAAGGCTCCTGCTGCCAAAACTGATGACCTAAGTTTGATCTGTGGGATCCACATGGTGAAAGGAGAGAACTGACCACTGCAAGTTGTCCTCTGACCTCCCTGTGTGTACAGGAACACAGACACAAAGAAAGAAGAAAAAAAACATGGGGGCGGGTGTTGAGGTGCTGATTTGATCTCCTGGTGGGGGAGGGGCGGTTAAGAATGACAGAATTCAAAGAAAATGGGGTAATCGGCCACACTTTACAATTAGGCACAGTGGCTAAGAAACACACGTGCTAGTCGCCTGGGTTCACTGGGACAAGCCGGGGTGGGGCAGTCATTGACAGGCTGACACTGACAGGTGACAGGTAACTACTGATAAGGTTTGATTGCCATTCAGAGACTGACTTCCTTTAATCGCCACCTTACAGCGAATCACAGCTGGTGACCGGACATTAGTTTACTAGACTTCTGCCGAATGCAAGGCTGACCCAAATCGGTTCCGCTTTCAGAGTCTCTCCACAGCAGCGGGTTTGAAAGCGTCCACCCTCCTCCACCGCCAGTCTGCCAGCCACAGAAGAGAAGCTGCCCTGCCCAGGCCCTCCAGGCCCCGCCCACCAGGAGGCCCCGCCCACTGGAACTTACTTCCGGCCCGTTTGGGCTATGGATGAAAAGTACTGCCACGAAGCTCGTACTGCGCCTGCACTTATTCCGTTGCGCACCTGCGCACTCGCGACTTTCCCCTCAGACCGGACATAACGGTCCACGCGCTGCTTCATGGACCGGAAGTGGAGGGGAAGTGTCGCGGGGCGCGCCGGGCCTTGCTGAACGCCGGCAGTTCCTGCCGTTGCCGCCGCCCTCGGCTATTGCCGAGGCCTTCCAAAGCCGCCATGTCCGCCAGCGCCGTCTACGTACTGGACCTGAAAGGCAAGGTACTGAAGGGCTCTCCACCCTCTACGTTGCCAAGCAACAGCGGAGCCCTCGCCCTGTCGGGACCCACCCTGTTGCTAGGTAACTGGCCGGCCGGCCCTGCCTGGGCGTCAGGCAGGCGGGGCAGCCTCAATTGCCGGCCCGCCCTGTTGCTAGGAAACGGCCGGTGGTCTTTGCGAGTCCCGCCCCGTCTCTAGCTAACTTGGTGGGCTATGGTTGCTAGGAAACCGTCCGCTTAGCTCCTTTCCCGCCTCGGGCGCCCGGGTACCGGGCTTGGCCTATGCTTTGGACCGGAAGCTGAGGACCCCGCGCGACCCTTGGCCGGAGGCGTGGTGGGGACTGTGTCCTCTGGTCAGCCCCTCCCTCCGCAGCCTGCAGCCTTCAGCGCTTTCTCCCTAGAGCAGCTGCGCTTCCTGTGACATTGAGTTAAGAGAGGAGGGCGATAGGAATGCGGTCTTACCGAGGGGGAAACTGACTGCCCAGAGTCACACTGATTACTGGGAAGTAGCGGTCTGAAAGCCCCACCCCAAGCGTCCTTGCTTTCAACTGATGCTTTCAGAGAAGCCAGGCAGGGTGCTAAGCCCTGGGCCACCGTGGGTGGGCAGAGCCCGACACAGCTAAGCTCAGTCACTTGAAAAGGCACCGATAAATGAATGACTGTTGAGGACGTGTGTTCATAACGGACTGGCAGCCCCAGCTGGGAGTCAGAAAGAGCTTTCCTGTCTGGGGAAAAACAAGACTGCTGAGACATGAAGGCCCTGGACAGAAACAGGACTCGGGCATCTTCCCCAGGAGTATCTGTGGAAGAAAACTTCGTTTGTGTGTGTTTGTGTGGGTTTGCACATGTGTATGGAGGAAGGAGACCCTGCTACCCTTACATGGGCTCTTGTTATCAAACTCAGTCACTAGACTGATTCAGCGAGGCTGGCTGCCTGGCCTTTTAAGTCACTTGGATCTCCCTGTCTGTACTTCCCAGCAGCACCTGGCTAACCCTCACCCCTTGGTTTTATAAGACAAGGTTTCTCTGTGTAGCCCAGGCTGTCCTGAGCACACTCTGTAGACCAGGCTGGCCTTGACCTCAGATAGGATTGCTCTGCCTCAGGAATGCTGGAATTAAAGGTGTGCACCACACCACCACCACCACCACCACCACCACCACCACCACCACCACCACCACCTGGCTCTTTTACATGGGATCTGCGTACAGCTAATTTATGGTTTTGTAATGCTGAGGATATAACCCAGTGCCTCAAGTCTGTTCAAGGAGTGCTGTGTCGGGGAGCCACAGTGTGCTCAGTACAAAAGCCTCTTACAGGAATGTTTGTTCAGCCTTCAGAAATGGCTGTCACTTTCCCTCAGTCCTTTAAGGTTGAAGGCAGGTGGCCAGCCTCTAATGTTGGGAAGCTACCAGAACAGGTCCGGCTATAGTAAACAAGTCCAACATTCATCAGTGAAAGAACATTGGTGTCCAACCCACATGGAAGAGCTGGAGGTGTTCAGAAGTAAAGAGGTGGAGTGCCCCAGCCCCAGCGTTTTCCTTAGTCCCTTGAGTATGTGCCTGCCTTGGATGCCACCCAAGGTCAACAACTGGTGAGTCCCAGATCTGGGCTTCCTCCACAGCCTTCTGGGAACCTGGTAGGCGCAATGTTCCTTAGGCACATGCTCTGCCTTCTGGCCTGGAGGTACAATGGGCTGCCTGTCATGGCTTGCTTGTTCCTTTAGCCAGCACCCCATTGGCACCTAGCAGGTGCCCCATCCTGGACTCAAGCTATAGAGCTAGATTCATGTGTGGACTCAACCCATCTCTGCAGCTGAGGTGTGTGACCATAGACAAACCCGTGGCCTCTCTGAGCTTTGCCTTCCTGGCTGGTCCAAAGAGTCTTATCTGGGTTATTATAGGGTGAGACAGGCCTAGCCCTGCACAAGGCCCACAGAGCATGCTATTTAGGCTCCACAGGCTTCCTGGCCTAGCAGGAAACAATTGGACCAGCAGCTTAAGGGTTGCTTGCCTTCTGTTTGGCAATCAGACAAAGTTACAAAAGACTTCCAGGCAGAACTGGGCACCTGAGCTGGTTCTGAGGAGGTGACAGGTGTCCCAATTAGCATGCAAGGTATAAGGCAGCCACAGACTAGTGGTGGCAGCTTAGGGCTCCAATGGAGGAGGCCCCAGGGCCACTGCAGTTCCAGGAAGGAGGCCCCAGGATGGGGTGTGAGCAGACCTGCCTCTGGAAAGCTTCCCGGGGAGGCTGTAGATCTCTCCGCCTCCTTCCAAAAATGGAGACAACCTCCTGACAATGTGCCAGGCTGAGCCTCTGATTACCGAGGGATCTCACGTGGCCACCTTTGGACAGCAGGAGGTCTTCCAAGAGCGCTGGACTGCTGTTTGTGCTTCCCCAGCTACCCTGCAGCTTCCCTGCTTGGCAGCGTGGCCCTGGGGACCCCAGGTCTGGGGTGCTGAGCTCTCGGTTTCCCCTCCTTCTCAATGCTGTTTTTCCGGACACGGAAAACAAAACTCCAGGCTGCCCCCTGTTATTCACAAGGACCTTTGTAGTCTGAGTTCTCATAGCCCCCCAGCACAGTGCCTTTTTGTACACGTGGTCCTGGCTCATTCCACTTCAGGCAGTGGGGACTCTAAGC